GAATATAGGGTTAGTATATGAATAATAACTAATCACTTAGGGTTAGTATAATAACATTCACTAAGAATATAGGGTTAGTATATTAATAATAACTAATCACTTAGGGTTAGTATAATAACATTCACTAAGAATATAGGGTTAGTATATTAATAATAACTAATCACTTAGGGTTAGTATATTAATAATAACTAATCACTTAGGGTTAGTATAATAACATTCACTAAGAATGTAGGGTTAGTATAGTCATAATAACTAATCACTTAGGGTTAGTATAATAACATTCACTAATAATTTTAGGGTTAGTATATTAATAATAACTAATCACTTAGGGTTAGTATATGAATAATAACTAATCACTTAGGGTTAGTATAATAACATTCACTAAGAATATAGGGTTAGTATATTAATAACTAATCACTTAGGGTTAGTATAATAACATTCACTAAGAATATAGGGTTAGTATATTAATAATAACTAATCACTTAGGGTTAGTATATTAATAATAACTAATCACTTAGGATTAGTATAATAACATTCACTAAGAATATAGGGTTAGTATATTAATAATAACTAATCACTTAGGGTTAGTATATTAATAATAACTAATCACTTAGGATTAGTATAATAACATTCACTAAGAATATAGGGTTAGTATATTAATAATAACTAATCACTTATGGTGAGTATATTAATAATAACTAATCACTTAGGATTAGTATAATAACATTCACTAAGAATATAGGGTTAGTATATTAATAATAACTAATCACTTAGGGTTAGTATATTAATAATAACTAATCACTTAGGGTTAGTACAATAACATTCACTAAGATTATAGGGTTAGTATATTAATAACTAATCACTTACGGTTAGTATAATAACATTCACTAAGAATATAGGGTTAGTATATTAATAATAACTAATCACTTAGGGTTAGTATATTAATAATAACTAATCACTTAGGGTTAATATATTAATAATAACTAATCATTTAGGGTTAGTATATGAATAATAACTAATCACTTAGGGTTAGTATAATAACATTCACTAAGCATGTAGGGTTAGTATGTTAATAATAACTAATCACTTAGGGTTAGTATATTAATAATAACTAATCACTTAGGGTTAGTATATGAATAATAACTAATCACTTAGGGTTAGTATATTAATAATAACTAATCACTTAGGGTTAGTATATTAATAATAACTAATAATTTAGGGTTAGTATAATAACATTCACTAAGAATGTAGGGTTAGTATATTAATAATAACTAATCACTTAGGGTTAGTATAATAACATTCACTAAGAATGTAGGGTTAGTATATTAATAATAACGAATCACTTAGGGTTAGTATAATAACATTCACTAAAAATGTAGGGTTAGTATATTAATAATAACTAATCATTTAGGGTTAGTATATGAATAATAACTAATCATTTAGGGTTAGTATAATAACATTCACTAAGAATTTAGGGTTAGTATATTAATAACTAATCACTTACGGTTAGTATATGAATAATAACTAATCACTTAGGGTTAGTATATTAATAATAACTAATCACTTAGGGTTAGTATATTAATAACTAATCACTTACGGTTAGTATAATAACATTCACTAAGAATATAGGGTTAGTATGTTAATAACTAATCACTTAGGGTTAGTATAATAACATTCACTAAGAATGTAGGGTTAGTATATTAATAATAACTAATCACTTAGGGTTAGTATAATAACATTCACTAATAATTTTAGGGTTAGTATATTAATAATAACTAATCATTTAGGGTCAGTATATTAATAATAACAAATCACTTAGGGTTAGTATAATAACATTCACTTATAATGTAGGGTTAGAATATTAATCATAACTAATCACGTATTGTTAGTATAATAACATTAAATAATCAAGTAGGGTTACTATATTGATATTTGCAAATCACATATAGTTAGTATATTGATGTTTGCAAATCACAGAGTTAGTATATTGATATTTGCAAATCACATAGGGTTAGTATATTGATATTTGCAAATCACATAGGGTTAGTATATTGATATTAGCTAATCACATAGAGTTATTATATTCATATTTTCAAATCACATAGAGTTAGGATATTGATATTAGCAAATCACAGAGTTAGTATATTGATATTTGCAAATCACATAGGGTTAGTATATTGATATTTGCAAATCACATAGAGTTAGTATATTGATATTTGCAAATCACATAGAATTAGTATATTGATATTAGCTACTCACATAGAGTTAGTATATTGATATGTGCAAATCACATAGGGTTAGGATATTGATATTAGCAAATCACAGAGTTAGCATATTGATATTTGCAAATCACATAGAGTTAGTATATTGATATTTGCAAATCACATAGAATTAGTATATTGATATTAGCTAATCACATAGAGTTAGTATATTGATATGTGCAAATCACATAGGGTTAGGATATTGATATTAGCAAATCACAGAGTTAGCATATTGATATTTGCAAATCACATAGGGTTAGTATATTGATATTTGCAAATCACATAGGGTTAGTATATTAATATTTGCAAATCACATAGGGTTAGTATATTGATATTTGCAAATCACAGAGTTAGTATATTGATATGTGCAAATCACATAGGGTTAGGATATTGATATTAGCAAATCACAGAGTTAGCATATTGATATTTGCAAATCACATAGCGTTAGTATATTGATATTTACAAATCACATAGGGTTAGTATATTGATATTTGCAAATCACATAGGGTTAGTATATTGATATTAGCAAATCACATAGGATTATTATATTGATATTTGCAAATCACATAGGATTATTATATTGATATTAACTAATAACGTCGGGTTATTATATTTAACAACTCACACAGAGGGTTATTATATTTAAGAACTCACACAGAGGGTTATGAGATTTACGCTAACAAATCGCATAAGCTTATTGTATCGAAGTGTAACACGAAGTTTAGCAAATGTTCAAACGGACGATGAAAACTTCTGCACAAAGCCACCAACACCACCACCATACCAGGTCCCTCATTTGAGGCTGAGTCGACCTAGAGGAGGTGGCCCAGGTAATCGATATAAAGCGGTCTTGGCCGTGAGCGGGGATCGAACTCGGGTTTGTGTGGTGAGTCTATGGGTCTCTGTGTGGTGAGTCTGTGGGTCTCTGTGTGGTGAGTCTGTGGGTCTCTGTGTGGTGAGTCTGTGGGTCTCTGTGTGGTGAGTCTGTGGGTCTCTGTGTGGTGAGTCTATGGGTCTCTGTGTGGTGAGTCTGTGGGTCTCTGTGTGGTGAGTCTGTGGGTCTCTGTGTGGTGAGTCTGTGGGTCTCTGTGTGGTGAGTCTATGGGTCTCTGTGTGGTGAGTCTGTGGGTCTCTGTGTGGTGAGTCTGTGTGTCTCTATGTGGTGAGTCTATGGGTCTCTGTTTGGTGAGTCTATGGGTCTCTACGTGATGAGTCTATGGGTCTCTGTGTGATGAGTCTACGGGTCTCTGTGTGTGATGAGTCTATGGCTCTCTGCCGTGTGATGAGTCTATGGGTCTCTGCTGTGTGATGAGTCTATGGCTCTTTGCTGTGTGATGAGTCTATGGCTCTTTGCTGTGTGATGAGTCTATGGCGCTATGCTGTGTGATGAGTATATGGCTTTTTGCTGTGTGATGAGTCTACGGCTCTCTGTGGGATGAGTCTATGGCTCTCTGCTGTATGATGAGTCTATGGGTCTCTGCTGTGTGATGAGTCTATGGATCTCTGCTGTGTGATGAGTCTATGGGTCTCTGCTGTGTGATGAGTCTATGGGTCTCTGTTGTGATGAGTCTATGGGTCTCTGCTATGTGATGAGTCTATGGGTCTCTGCTCTGTGATGAGTCTATGGGTCTCTGCTGTGTGATGAGTCTATGGGTCTCTGCTGTATGATGAGTCTATGGGTCTCTGCTGTATGATGAGTCTATGGGTCTCTGCTGTGTGATGAGTCTATGGGTCTCTGCTATGTGATGAGTCTATGGGTCTCTGCTCTGTGATGAGTCTATGGGTCTCTGCTGTGTGATGAGTCTATGGGTCTCTGCTCTGTGATGAGTCTATGGGTCTCTGCTGTGTGATGAGTCTATGGGTCTCTGCTGTGTGATGAGTCTATGGGTCTCTGTTGTGATGAGTCTATGGGTCTCTGCTGTGTGATGAGTCTATGGGTCTCTGCTGTGTGATGAGTCTATGGGTCTCTGCTGTGTGATGAGTCTATGGCTCTCTGCTGTGTGATGAGTCTATGGGTCTCTGCTGTGTGATGAGTCCATGGGCCTCTGCTGTGTGATGAGTCTATGGCTCTCTGCTGTGTGATGAGTCTACGGCTCTCTGTGGGATGTCTATGGCTCTCTGCTGTGTGATGAGTCTATGGGTCTCTGCTGTGTGATGAGTCTATGGGTCTCTGCTGTGTGATGAGTCTATGGGTCTCTGCTGTGTGATGAGTCTATGGCTCTCTGCTGTGTGATGAGTCTATGGCTCACTGCTGTATGATGAGTCTATGGGTCTCTGCTGTGTGATGAGTCTATGGGTCTCTGCTGTGATGAGTCTATGGGTCTCTGCTGTGTGATAAGTCTATGGGTCTCTGCTGTGTGATGAGTCTATGGGTCTCTGCTGTGTGATAAGTCTATGGGTCTCTGCTGTGTGATAAGTCTATGGGTCTCTGCTGTGTGATGAGTCTATGGGTCTCTGCTGTGTGATGAATCTATGGGTATCTGCTGTGTGATGAGTCTATGGGTCTCTGCTGTGTGATAAGTCTATGGGTCTCTGCTGTGTGATGAGTCTATGGGTCTCTGCTGTGTGATGAGTCTATGGGTCTCTGCTGTGTGATGAGTCTATGGGTCTCTGCTGTGTGATGAGTCTATGGGTCTCTGCTGTGTGATGAATCTATGGGTATCTGCTGTGTGATGAGTCTATGGGTCTCTGCTGTGTGATAAGTCTATGGGTCTCTGCTGTGTGATGAGTCTATGGGTCTCTGCTGTGTGATGAGTCTATGGGTCTCTGCTGTGTGATGAGTCTATGGGTCTCTATGAGTCTATGGCTCTCTGTGGGATGAGTTAAACGTTGCCCATCGAAGGCCAATTAACAAGCTCAGACAGGCGAAACAAACAAACAAACAACAACAACAACTTTCCATAGCCCTCAGAGCAAATCCGTTTCTCTCACGGGCGCAGCATCCTGAGGCCTAGTAGGCCGAGGCTCGGAAGGCTTCGGCCCACTCCTCTCCGGGCCTAGTCACGCCGACATCAGCAGACCCCCCTCGTCTTTGGCCGACTCTTCCGTCGTCATCGTCGTCAATGGCAGCTGCTGACGATGTTGTTGATGGTGGTGCTGAGGAGGCTTCTCCGGATCGTAGCCTGGGCCCACGCCTAGGCCGCCTCCTGGGCCTAGGCCGCCTCCTGGGCCTAATCCGTCTCCTGGGCCTAGTCCGCTTCCTGGGCCTAGGCCACGTCCTGGGCCTAGTCCGCCTCCTGGGCCTAGGCCTCCGTCGTCGTCGTAGTCTCCGCCGCCGCCGCCCACCAACACGACGCAGTCCGAGTCCTCGGCCGCCGCTTTGCCGCCCGTGGACGCCGCCCGCGGGCGCTTGGCGAGGGGCCAATGGACGTTGGCCGCGGGGCTGCGGGTGGCGGCGTTGTCGTGGCCGTCACGGCTGGTGGCGGCGGCGGCGGCGGGGGGGTGGAAGGCCGCCTCGAGGCCTCCCTTGAGGCGGCGCTTCGCCTCTCGGTCCGGGTAGAGGAGGCAGTGGTAGAGGGGCCCACCCAGGCAGCCTCCCAGCAGTGGGCCCAGCCAGTAGACCTGCGGCATACGGTGAGACGCACTGATGGCGGTGGTCGTGGTGATGGTGATGGCGGTGGTGGTCGTGGTGATGATGATGGTGGTGATAGTGGTGGTGATGGTGATAGTGGTGGTGGTGATGATCATGGTGGTGATATTGGTGGTGGTGATTATGGTGGTTGTGATGATGATGATGGTGGTGATAGTGGTGGTGATGATGGTGGTGGTGATAGTGGTGGTGATGATGATGCTGGTGGTGATGATGATGATGGTGGTGATAGTGGTGGTGATGATGGTGGTGATAGTGGTGGTGGTGGTGATGATGGTGGTGATGGTGGTGATCGTGGTGGTGATGATGGTGGTGGTGATAGTGGTGGTGATGATGGTGGTGGTGATAGTGGTGGTGGTGGTGATGATGATGGTAATCGTGGTGGTGGTGATGATGATGGTGGCGGTGGTGATGATGGTGGTGATGATGGTGGTAGTGATAGTGGTGGTGGTGATGATGGTGGTGGTGATAGTGGTGGTGGTGGTGGTGATGATGGTGGTGGTGGCAAGGCCGATGAGTCAGACGCCTTCGATGACCTGTCCACAGGTGCTCACTAAAGTGGCCCCTCGGGATAGAGTCATCTTGTTGAGTAACTTCAATGCCTGAGTTGGTCATGATGCTGGCACCTGGTCTGGAGTGATTGGAAGGCATGGGCCAGATCAGCTCAATAACAACGGTAGGAGGCTGCTGAGATTTCTGTGCAGCCCATGGGCTTGTAATTACCAACCACGCTGTTCCGGCATCGGCGCATCCACACAACACCGTGGATGCATGCCGGGTCCAAGCAAGAACATCTGCTGGACTACATAGTGATGGACCGGCGGATGCAAGCCCATGTCCTTGACACCAGGACGTACCGTGGAGCTGATCTGCCCACTGACCATCGACTTGTCATCTGTAAGATGCGCCTGCCATTCTTCCACTCCGGTGGTGGGTGTCCATCTAGGACCTCGTTCAAACCCACGGTGGCCTGGTCTCAGCTAGCTAAGGATAGTTTCAAGTGCGAGGCAGCAACAACGGAGGACAGAGGAGTGAAGCTCACAACAACGAGCGGAGCGGCGGGCGGGTAAAGTGCAGCTGGTGGTGAATCTACCGGTCATCTCAGCCGACCCATGGCACCTGCTGGGTCTGTCCCGAGACCTCCTGCACCTAGCCTGGCACAGTAGGGGGGTTACAGCTGGTGGTGCATCTACCGGTCATCTCAGTCGGCCAACCCATGGCACCTGCTGGGTCTGTTCCGAGACCTCCTGCACCTAGCCTGGCACAGTAGGGGGGGTACAGCTGGTGGTGCATCTACCGGTCATCTCAGTCAACCCATGGCACTTGCTGGGTCTGCCCCGTACCTCCTGCACCTAGCCTGGCACAGAGGGGTTACAGCTGGTGGTGCATCTACCGGTCATCTCAGTCAGCCGACCCATGGCACCTGCTGGGTCTGTCCCGAGACCTCCTGCACCTAGCCTGGCACAGTAGGGGGGGTTACAGCTGGTGGTGCATCTACCGGTCATCTCAGTCAACCCATGGCACCTGCTGGGTCTGTCCCGAGACCTCCTGCACCTAGCCTGGCACAGTAGGGGGGTACAGCTGGTGGTGCATCTACCACTCATCTCAGTCAGCCGACCCATGGCACCCGCTGGGTCTGTCCCGTGGCTTCCTGTCAGCAAGGAGTCTTCGACACGTGCACCTAGCCTGGCACCGGCGCCGTGGTGATGTCACCATCGCTTAGTGGCGAATGGCGGCGTGTTGGTGTTGGTGGTGATGATGGTGGTGGTGATGGTGATGATGGTAATGTTGGTGATGGTGGTGATGATGATAGTGGTGATGGTGGTGATTTTGATGGTGGAGGTGATGTTGATAATGATGATGTTGGTGGTGATGGTGGTGATGGGGGTGGTGGTGGTGGTGGTGATGGTGGTGATGGTGATGGTGGTGATGGTGATGGTGATAATGGTGATGTTGGTGGTGATGGTGATGGTGGTGATGGTGATGGTAGTGATGGTGATGTTGATGTTGGTGGTGGTGATGTTGGTGGTGATGGTGGTGATGATGATGTTGGTGATGTTGATATTGGTGGTGGTGATGTTGGTGGTGATGGTCGTGATGGTGATGTTGGTGGTGATGGTGGTGATGGTGATGTTGGTGGTGATGGTGGTGATGGTGGTGATGGTGATAGTGGTGATGGTGGTGATAGTGGTGATGGTGGGCATGGTGGTGATGATGGTGATGGTGGTGATGATGGAGATGGTGATGTTGATGTTGGTGGTGATGGTGGTGATGGTGGTGTTTCACTCTACCCAGTGGTTAGCCCACAGCCCAGACACCACAGCAGAGCCGAGGGAGCGTGCTGGGTTCATGCTGGAGCCGGTGTAGGGCAGCTACATCATCAACAACATCAACAACAACATCAACAACATCAACAACAACATCAACAACATCATCAACATCAACAACATCAACAACATCATCAACAACAACATCAACAACAACATCAACAACATCAGCTACATCAACATCAACAACAATATCAACAACAACATCATCAACAACAACATCAACAACATCAACAACATTAGCTACATCAACAACAACATCAACAACAACATCATCAACAACATCAACAACAGCATCAACTACATCAACAACATCAACATCATCAGCAACATCAGCAACATCATCAACATCAACAACATCATCAACTACATCAACAACATCAACAACATCATCAGCAACATCATCAACATCATCAACAACATCATCATCAGCTACATCAACAACATCAACAACAACATCAACAACATCAACAACATCTACATCATCATCAGCTACATCAACAACATCAACAACAACATCAACAACATCAACAACATCAGCTACATCAACATCAACAACATCAACAACGTCATCAACAACATCATCAACATCATCAACAACAACGATATCAACAACATGAACAACATCAACAGCATCAACAACATCAACAACATCAACATCATCAGCTACATCAACAACATCAACAACAACATCAACAACATCAACAACAACATCATCATCAGCTACATCAACAACGTCATCGACAAGATCATCAACAACATCAGCAACAGCAACATCAACATCACCATCAACATCAACAACAACATCAACAAGATCAACATCATCATCAGCTACATCAACAACATCAACAACAACATCATCAACAACATCATCAACACCACCATCAACAAAAACATCAACAACAACATCGTCAGCAACATCAACAACGTCATCAACAAGGTCAACAACTTCAACAACATCATCAGCAACATCATCACCAACATCAACAGCAACATCATCAACATCATAGTGACGACGATGGCTATGATGGTGATGATGATGATGATGACGATGGTGGTGATGATGATGATAATGATGACGATGGTGGTGATGATGAAGATCCTGATGGTGACGATGGTGGTGATGGTGACAATGGTGGTGATAATGGTGGTGGTGATGATGATGATGGTGGTGGCGATGATGACGCTGACGATGGTGGTGATGATGAAGATCCTGATGGTGACGATGGTGTTGATGGTGACGATGCTGGTGATGGTGACGATGGTGATGGTGGTGATGATGGTGGTGATGGTGATGGTGGTGATAGTGATGATGGTGACGATGGTGACGATGGTGATGATGATGATGACGATGGTGGTGATGATGAAGATCCTGATGGTGACGATGGTGATGGTGACGGTGGTGGTTATGGTGCCAATGGTGGTGATAATGGTGATGATGATGACGATGGTGGTGATGATGAAGATCCTGATGGTGACGATGGTGTTGATGGTGACGATGGTGGTGATGATGGTGGTGGTGATGATGATGGTGGCGATGGTGATGGTGACGATGGTGGTGATGATGGTGGTGATGATGGTGACGGTAATGACGGTGATGATGATGATGATGACGATGGTGGCGATGAGGAAGATCCTGATGGTGACGATGGTGATGATGATGATGACGACGACGACGGCGATGACGACGCTGACGAGGTGACCCCGAGGCACCCTCACCGCAAAGAGGTGACCCAGCGCCACCGACAGGCCGATGGCGAGGGAGCCGGAGCCAGCGAGGTCGGAGCGACGATCGTCGATGGTGGCGCACACGGTGAGGACGAGCTGGAGGGTGACTACCGCCTCCACCACCACAGCGTGGCTCACCTGGAGCCTGGTACTCACCTAGAGCCAGAACGCCACGTGACTCACTGACTCACTCACAGGGTGACTACTGACTCACAGGGTGACTACGGTGAGGACGAGCTGGAGGGTGACTACCGCCTCCACCACCACAGCGTGGCTGACCTGGAGCCTGGTGCTCACCTAGAGCCAGAACGCCACGTGACTCACTCACTGACTGACTCACAGGGTGACTACTGACTCACAGGGTGACTACTGACTCACAGGGTGACTACGGTGAGGACGAGCTGGAGGGTGACTACCGCCTCCACCACCACAGCGTGGCTCACCTGGAGCCTGGTGCTCATCTGGAGCCAGCACGCCACGTGACTGACTCACTGACTCACTCACAGGGTGACTACTGACTCACAGGGTGACTACTGACTGACTCACAGGGTGACTACTGACTGACACACAGGGTGACTACTGACTCACAGGGTGACTACTGACTCACTCACAGGGTGACTACTGACTGACTGACTCACAGGGTGACTACTGACTCACAGGGTGACTACTGACTGACTCACAGGGTGACTACTGACTCACAGGGTGACTACTGACTGACTGACAGGGTGACTACTGACTGACTCACAGGGTGACTACTGACTCACAGGGTGACTACTGACTGACAGGGTGACTACTGACTGACTGACAGGGTGACTACTGACTGACAGAGTGACTACTGACTGACAGGGTGACTACTGACTGACTCACAGGGTGACTACTGACTGACTGACAGGGTGACTACTGACTGACAGAGTGACTACTGACTGACAGGGTGACTACTGACTGACTCACAGGGTGACTACTGACTGACTGACAGGGTGAATACTGACTGACAGAGTGACTACTGACTGACTCACAGGGTGACTACTGACTGACTCACGGGGTGACTACTGTCTGACTCACAGTGTGACTACTGACTCACAGGGTGACTACTGACTGACAGAGTGACTACTGACTGACTCACAGGGTGACTACTGACTGACTCACAGTGTGACTACTGACTCACAGGGTAACTACTGACTGACTGACTCACAGGGTGACTACTGACTGACAGGGTGACTCACTGACTGACTCACAGGGTGACTACTGACTGACTGACACTGTGACTACTGACTGACAGGGTGACTACTGACTGACAGGGTGACTACTGACTGACAGGGTGACTGCTGACTGACTGACAGGGTGACTACTGACTCACAGGGTGACTACTGACTGACTGACACTGTGACTACTGACTCACAGGGTGACTACTCACAGGGTGACTACTGACTGACTCACGGGGTGACTACTGACTGACAGGGTGACTACTGACTCACAGGGTGACTACTGACTCACTCACAGGGTGACTACTGACTGACTGACAGGGTGACTACTGACTCACAGGGTGACTACTGACTCACAGGGTGACTACTGACTGACTGACAGGGTGACTACTGACTCACAGGGTGACTACTGACTGACAGGGTGACTACTGACTGACAGGGTGACTACTGACTGACTGACAGGGTGATTACTGACTGACAGGGTGACTACTGACTGACAGGGTGACTACTGACTGACTGACAGGGTGATTACTGACTGACAGGGTGACTACTGACTGACAGGGTGATTACTGACTGACAGGGTGACTACTGACTGACAGGGTGACTACTGACTCACAGGGTGACTACTGACTGACAGGGTGACTACTGACTGACAGGGTGACTACTGACTGACTGACAGGGTGATTACTGACTGACAGGGTGACTACTGACTGACTGACACTGTGACTACTGACTCACAGGGTGACTACTCACAGGGTGACTACTGACTGACAGGGTGACTACTGACTCACAGGGTGACTACTGACTCACAGGGTGACTACTGACTCACAGGGTGACTACTGACTGACAGGGTGACTACTGACTGACTGACAGGGTGACTACTGACTCACAGGGTGACTACTGACTGACTGACAGGCACCAGCTGGAGGCTGCCACTCACCTGGTGGTCCACCATCACCTGGCTGAGTATCTGGTCGAGTGTCCACCTGGTCAAGTGTCTGGTGGAGTGTCCGGTCCTCCCATGGTCATCTGGTGGAGTATCTGGTTGACTATCTGGTTGAGTATGTGGTGGAGTATCTGGTTCACTATCTGGTTCACTATCTGGTTCACTATCTGGTTGACTATCTGGCCGACTATCTGGCTGACTATCTGGCTGACTATCTGGATGACTATCTGGTTCACTTTCTGGTTCACTATCTGGTTCACTATCTGGCTGACTGTCTGGCTGACTATCTGGTTGACTATCTGGCTGACTATCTGGTGGACTATCTGGTGGACTATCTGGTGGACTATCTGGTTCACTATCTGGCGGACTATCTGGTTGACTATCTGGCTGACTATCTGGCTGACTATCTGGTTGACTATCTGGTTCACTATCTGGCAGACTATCTGGTGGACTATCTGGCAAACTATCTGGCTGACTATCTGGCTGACCATCTGGTTGACTATGTGGTGGACTATCTGGCTGACTATCTGGTTCACTATCTGGCTGAATATCTGGCTGAATATCTGGCTGACTATCTGGTGGACTATCTGGTGGACTCTCTGGCTGAATATCTGGTTCACTATCTGGTTCACTATCTGGTTCACTATCTGGCTGACTATTTGGTGGACTATCTGGTTCACTATCTGGCGGACTATCTGGTGGACTATCTGGCAAACTATCTGGCTGACTATCTGGCTGACCATCTGGTTGACTATCTGGTGGACTATCTGGCTGACTATCTGGTTCACTATCTGGCTGAATATCTGGCTGAATATCTGGCTGACTATCTGGTGGACTATCTGGTGGACTCTCTGGCTGAATATCTGGTTCACTATCTGGTTCACTATCTGGTTCACTATCTGGCTGACTATCTGGTTGACTATCTGGTTCATTATCTGGCTGACTATCTGGTTCACTATCTGGTTCACTATCTGGCTCTACCCCCCCCCCGCCCCACTCACGAGTGTGGCCCCCAGGGCCCCCGCGACGTCCCCCGGCGTGACCAGCAGCAGCAGCGCGGCCCCCAGCGTGGCCCCGAGGCTCTGGGCGGCCACGAAGGCGACGCCGCGGCTGAGCGGCATGCGGCGAGTCACCAGCAGGGCGGCCGTCACCGCCGGGTTGAGGTTGGCACCGCTGACGCCTCCCAGGCACTGGGCCATGGCGGCCACGGCCAGGCCGAAGCACAGCGACACCTGGGGGGGGGTGAGGGGGGGTGGGGGGGGGTGAGGGGGGGTGAGGGACACGTCGGGGACAGAGTGGTGGGTCCTGCACTGAGTCACTGCACCCATCACTGAGTCACACACGGGTACACGCACACACACACATCAGGGTACGTACACAACAACAACAACAGCAGCAGCAGCAACCGCCATTAGCCCGTGAATGGCGGCGACGTCACCACGACGCTTGTGCCAGGCTATGTGCACCTTGAGGCCATCACGTGAAGCGTCGAACGCCCGCCGGCAGGAGGTCACGGGGCAGACCCAGGTGCCACGGGTCGACTGACTGAGATGACTGGCTGATGCACCACCTGTGCCCCCTACTGTGCCCAACCTGCTGTGCTTTAGCCACCCGGCGCTCCGCTCGTTGTTGTGAGCGTCGCTCCTCCGCCCTCTGTTGTTGTTGGAGGGCGACTGCCTCCAACTGCCCAGTAGCAGCGTCCTTCACGAGCCTCCTCCACAGAGGCCGATCTTGACACCGCTGGTACCAGTCATCGGCAAGTCCACTCAGCTCCACGTCCTCCTGTACCACGTCACTCCATCTCTTCTCTAGCCCGTGCCGCGCCCGTTTAGCCCCCTCGATCCGGCCGAACAAAAGCTGTTTCGGCATGCGGTGGCTGGGCATGCGGGCTACATGACCCAGCCAACGCAGCCTTGCCTGCTGGAGGGGCTCACCGATGGGACTTTCTCTACATCTTTCAAGGATTTGTGAGCTCCCCACACAATCCAGCCTGGTTAAATGCAGGATAGATCGTAGGCAGGCCAGCCTAAATGTTTCTAACCGGAGAAGATGCTCCATTAGGGGGGTCCACGTTTCCAAGCGTAGAGAAGGGAGGAAATGACCGTGGCCGAGAAGACCTGAAGCTTAGTGCGGAGCGACAGACCAGGTAGCTTCCACACAGCGTTACGCAACTGATGAAAAGATATTGCCGCTCGACTGATTCGGAGTGAGACCTCTGCTGTAGCGGAGCCGGTCATGAGCACACTGCCCAGGTATGGGAAACTCTCCACTCTCTCCACAACTGCCCCATCACCAATTGGGAGTTGTGGGAGTGGAGTGTCCGATGGTACAAAATACCCAGGCAGGTCCTTAGTATTAGTGGGGCTGATGCTAAGGCCCCATCTCTTGGTGGCACGCTCCAGGTTCAGCAGCAGCGCCTCCAACTCCTCCTCTGAATGAGCAGCAATTACCAGACCATCGGCATACATAACGTGGTTGAGCAATAGGGAGCCATCCCTTGACCGCACCCGGGCATCGACCATTGTATCTGTACCAGATGGAAATCCACCTGGTACAACTATTGAAGTCTTCACGAACTACGTGGTCAAAATAGATGTTAAATAATGTGGGAGCCAGAGGACATCCCTGTCGCACCTCAAGGTGAACAGGGAATGGCTCTGACTCTCGGCCACGTAGTTTTACCCAGGCCCGCTCACCATCATGAAGGTCCTTAATGATCGTGAGCAGAGGGTCAGGGACTCCGAAAGCACAAAGAACAACGCAGAGCCCAGGCCTACTGATAGGCCTTGACCAGGTCAATAAAGCAGAGATGTAGGTCTTGTTGGAATTCCTTACACCTCTGCTGTAGCGGAGCCGGTCAGGAGCACACTGCCCAGGTATGGGAAACTCTCCACTCTCTCCACAACTGCCCTATCACCAATTAGTAGTTGTGGGGGTGGAGTGTCTGATGGTACAGTACCCGTCCAGTGGTCCAACTGTTATTATGATGTCATGTAGGGCAGTCTGTGCACAAACGCCTCCATCCCTCAGCATTTCGCTTTGGAGATCATCTCTGACCGGTGCCTTTCCTGGTCTCAGACTCCAGATCGCCTTCAGTACTTCCTCAACAGATGGCACCTCAGCCAGCCACTCACAGGGGGTGACTTCCTCCTCCAATATTTGAGGCACCGCAGCCTCAGCAGGGTCATCCCCACTTTGTCCCACGATGTTTTCCATGTCGAGGGATTTCCCTTCCCCCAGAACTTCACAGAAATGCTCAGCAAATCTGCAAACCTGTTCCTGGTGATCGGAGATTGGATCACCATTTTTTACCCTAATGATGGTAAGAGGTATAGCGCTGCAGGTTACTTTTTTGATGGAGTTAAATAGGGATTTGTGATCGCGGGCCACTGAGGCAGACTCCATCTCCTCAGCAACCCGCGACCACCACCCATCCTTGCAGCGCCTCACGGCTCTCCGAACCTCCGAGCGAAGGCTGCGGTAAGCCTCCTCATTCTCTGAATGGGATGCTGTAGATGATTAGAGTGGGCCTGTCGCTTTTTCTCAACCATCCTGAACACCTCCTCTGTCAGCCAGGGTCTCTGGGGAGGTCTGGACCGCATACCCAAAGCTGCCATTGCAGCTGCATGAGTCACAGTCCTAAACCTCGCCCATTTACCCTCGACATCAGGATGAGTGGGGGACGATGCTAACCCCAGCCGCAGGTGATGATGAAATTCTCGCTTGCAACTTTCACCAGATAACTGAGACCAGGCCACCTTAGGTTTGAAAGGGGTCCTGGGTGTACACCCACCACCGGAGTGGAAGAATGGCAAGTGCATCTTACAGATGACAAGTCGATGGTCAGAGGGTACGTCCTGGTGTCAAGGACATGGGCTCGCATCCGCTGGTCCGTCACTATGTAGTCCAGCAGATGTTCTTGCTTGGACCCAGCATGCATCCATGATGTTGTGTGGATGCGCCAATGCCGGAACAGCGTGTTGGTAATTACAAGCTCATGGGCTGCACAAAAATCTAGCATCCTCCTACCGTTGTTATTGAGCTGATCTGGCCCATGCCTTCCAATCACTCCAGACCACGTGCCAACATCATGACCAACTCGGGCATTGAAGTCACCCAACAAGATGACTATCCCGAGGGGCCACTTTAGCCAGCACCTGTGACAGGAGGTCATAGAAGGCATCTGACTCATCGGCTTTGCCTGCATCCCTCCACGGATGTTCGTCTTCGGTAGGGGCATAAGTAACCACGACCACCACTCCTCGCCTCCGGATGATGGGAAGGCGAGCCCAAAGTAGCCTCGTGCTTACAGCTTCCCACACCTCACCGCCACGCTCCCACGCCCCCTTCATTATTTTATTAGTAGAGGACTGTCCACCCCTCATGGTGGCAGGAGTCAGAGCCAGTCCACCGGACCTCCTGAATGCCACAGAGATCCAGGCGGTACCGGTCCAGCTCCCGACAGAAGAGTGGCAGCCTCTCCTCCGCAGTGAGCCTCTGAACATTCCACGTGGCCATCCGTAGTGGCTTTTCGTTGTTTCTGGAGGAACCCCGAGGGTAGAGATTCAATCTCTTGGCTCCGTCAATTGGGGTTTAGCCAGGAGACGTCATAGACGCCTGTCCCCCCGGGGCCTCCGGCACAAGCTTATTAATTAGATATTTTAGACGGGGTTTAGTGGTAATTTATTGAAGGTGGAGGGGTTACCAGCCCCTCGCACCCATCCAGAGCCCCTGTTTAGCCACTGTGGTGGTCACAGACGCCATGAGGGGAAAGGCCACTCGGAATTGGCCTTCCCCCCACAGCACTGTCCACGACAGAGTTGCCCGTCCGTAACCAGAAAGAGGTAGGGGGTTGTTTTGCAGGATCACGACACCGACCACCACTACACCTACCACCATGACACCTACCACCACGACACCTACCAACACCACTACACCTACCACCACGGCACCTACCACCACCACTACACCTACCACCACGACACCTACCACCACCACCACGACACCTACCACCACCACCACGACACCTACCACCACCACTACCCCTACCACCACCACTACACCCACCACCACGACACCTACCACCACCACCACTACACCTACCACCACTACACCACCAGCACCACCACCACCACTACACCTACCACCACCACGACACCTACCACCACTACACCTACCACCACTACTACACCTACCACCACTACTACACCTACCACTACTACACCTACCACCACTACTACACCTCCCACCACCACTACTACACCTACCACCACCACTACTACACCTACCACCACTACTACACCTACCACCACTATTACACCTACCACCACTACTACACCTACCACCACTACTACACCTACCACCACCACTACTACACCTGCCACCACCACCACCACTACTACACCTACCACCACTACCACCAGCACGCCACCTGCCACCACCACCACCACTACACCTACCACCACCACCACTACACCTACCACCACCACGACACCTACCACCACCACTACACCTGCCACCACCACGACACCTACCACCACTACACCTACCACCAGCACCACCACCTCCACCACTACTACACCTACCACCACCACTACTACACCTACCACCACTACACCTACCACCACTACACCTACCACCACCACTACTACACCTACCACCACCACTACACCTACCACCACCACTACTACACCTACCACCACCACCACCACTACACCTACCACCACCACCAGCACCACTACAACACCTACCACCACCACTACACCTACCACCACCACCACTACACCTACCACCACTACACCTACCACCAGCACCAGCACCACCACCACTACACCTACCACCACCACCACCACTACTACACCTACCACCACCACCACTACTACACCTACCACCACCACCACCACCACTACACCTACCACCACTACACCTACCACCACCAACACTACTACACCTACCACCACTACACCTACCACCAGCACCACCACTACAAGACCTACCAGCACCAGCACCACCACCACCACTACTACACCTACCACCACCACCACCACTACACCTACCACCACCACCACCACTACACCTACCACCACCACCACTACACCTACCACCACCACTACACCTACCACCACCACTACACCTACCACCACCACCACTACACCTACCACCACTACTACACCTACCACTACCACCACCACTACACCTACAACCACCACCACTACACCTACAACCACCACCA